AGAGAGTGCAGCTTTCCCGAAACTTATCTAACGCCAGAAACCTCATTTCACAGGAGACCAGCAACAGCGTCTGGCGGGAACTAGAGTGTTAAGATACAGAGTGTGGGGATGTGGCCCCAGGAATCCGCTCCCACTGCCTTCCTAGGACATTTGATGATTCAGAATGCCACCTGCAGACAGAGAAGGCCAGGGCTGCAGGGCGTCCTGGCCGGTCTGGAGGGGCCTTGACGTCTGGGGCTGAACACGGACGCAGAGAGAGCTCCAGGCTGGGTCTCTGGTGCCGACGGAGCCGTGAGCCACGGCAGGAAGCCCACACCTCTGCGGGGACAGGCTCCGGGAAGCTGGTCTACTAAGCGTGCGATTGAGGGAGCGTGGAGCAGTTGGGCTCCCAGGGTCACGTGTGTGACCTTGAGGCGCCAGTTCCCAGAGCCAAGGGAGCTGCCATCTGGGGTTGTGCTGTTAGGTGAGCTGTGGTTTCTGTCGCTCCCCTCTGTGGCTTTGCAGCCGCTAAACTCACCACGTTTGTTTATGCTCTACCCGATGTCAGGGATTATAGCAGACCCCTCCAGCCGGGAGTAGTCACAAGTCCTGGGTCAGCAGCTGGGACAGGGTCACGCTGGGACTGGAACCCGGGGGTCTGGGTCCTGGGTCCGGCTCTTAAGCAAATCCTACATCTCCTGTGCAGCCAAGGGCATTGCAGTCCAGATGCGGGGGCGCAGGGCAGGCGGGCTGGGCAGGGATCGGAGGGGGAGTGGAGGGGCTGGGCAGCAGTGGCAGGGCAGAGGCTGGACGGATGGGGGAATTTGAGTAGTCGGCGGAGCCATTTGGAGCACCTGAAATGTGCAGAACTGAGGGCCAGCACCAAAGAACTGGACCTCCTGGTGCCCGCAGTGGGGCACCGGGGGAGAGTCAGGGGCTGGTGGTCACCACCAACTCATGGCACAGTGGCTGCCTCATGTTCAGCTGTGCGTTGGCCCCGGGATCCTTTCCAGCCTGAAGCCCCCCATCAGGGCCAGTCCCCCTCCAGGACCGGGATGGGCAGCTGACCACCTCTGCTTTGCTTCCCGCACAGCTCGCTCTTGGACACCAGGTGGCGCTCTCGTCCATCAGCTACATCGGCTGCTCGCTGTCGGTGCTCTGCCTGGCCGTCACGCTGGTGACCTTCGCCGTGCTCTCGTGAGTCATCTCCTGCTCTCCCCGGGCTCCAGGGGGTTTGGCGGCTTTGTGTAAATGTCAGTGCCACCCCTGCACCACTTTAATTTCACTTGTACTCGGGACTCTGCCCACGGTGTGCGCCAGCTGGGCAGTCACTGTTTGTTTCGAGATCTGGGGTGCAGGGAGGGCGCTGTGGGGTGGCTACTGGAAAAGGGAGGAGAGAGGAAGGGTGCAGAACTGGGGGACACCCGGCTTAGGCTAAGCTGGAAAGTTCTGGAAAGGTCCCCAGCCCACAGGGCTTGCTGACCACTGACTGGCCAGCTGAGAGCCAGGATTGAGGACCCCCTCCCTCCAAATGATGTCAAAGCAGCAAGATCCCGTGGGGCGGGGCTGTGGGAGGCCCTCGGGGTGAGAAGACGGGGTTGGCGGGACACCTCCCAGCCGGCCGAAGCCACATCGCCCCATCACAGCTTAAGGGAGTGGAGTGGAGGCTGGCGGCTGGTCCCTCTGCAGCCCTCTCTGAACTAGGACAGGAAGGTGAAGCGAGGGACCTGCGTCTGGGCGGACAGCTGGGAAGTCCTGTTCGCGCACCCCCCTCAGGCCTGCTGGGGCTCAGGGGCTGGGGTTTTACTCACCCGGGGTGGGGGCTCACGCTCTGGGGCTGCTTGGGAGTTTATACCTGCCCCCCCAACACCTTCTTCTGCTGGTGGGGGTTCCTCCTGGAGGCCAGCGCCCCTCCTCACCTGCCCTGTTCCCTGAGGACACCCACCACCTGGCTGCATCTGTGACTGGGGTGGGGGGCAGGCTGGGCTGATCTGGGGCTGCAGCAAAATCAGCAGGCAAGGCCATCAGCTTCCTGAGCCCCTCCTTCTCTGCTGCCCCCCACCCCGAAACCCTGGGCGCTTTGAGGGGAGGTGGGGGGGTATGCAGATGACACACAGGCTTCTGGTGGGATCTGAGCAGGTAAGAGGAGACTGACACGAGTTTGGAGGGGCCCCAGCCTTACAATCAGGATGTTTCTTCTCTGATTCCCTCAACTGTTCGGTCAGCGAGCCCACCCCGCCCAGCTGTAGTCAGCGCTGAGGACAGGACGCAGCTGTGCCCAAGACAGATAAAACCTGGCTGGGTGGGGAGTGGGGGCCGGACAAGGAGTGAGGATTCAAAGGCCTGAATAGACATTGTTCCAGCCCTCAGAGCCCAGCTGAGAGAGCAGTTTAAGAGGGGCTGGATGTCCTCCGCTCCCTCTGGGACACTCTCACCCCTGGGAGGCCTGTGAAGGGAGTTTACTGCGGAGGAGCGGCTGGTGCAAAGGCCCAGAGGCTGGAGCAGACTGGAGGTCCTGGAGGACCAGGAAAGGGTGTCTCTGTGTGAGCAGGAGAAAGGACAGGGGTCAGAGCGATGGACAGGGGTCAGGCCCTGCAGGGCCTGCGGAAGGAGCTGGGTCATTTCTAAGAGCAATAGGAAGCCACTACTGGTTCCCAGCCAGGAGTGGCTGCATCTGGGAGGCTTATAAAGACGTCTTCGGTGGCCCTGGGAGGCGCAGTACCGAGCAGCCGTGGCTGAGCCAGTGCTGGTCTGGGGCCTCACTCCTGCCTCTCTGTCCCCAGCTCGGTCAGCACCATCCGGAACCAGCGCTACCACATCCATGCCAACCTGTCCCTTGCCGTCCTGGTGGCCCAGGTCCTGCTGCTCGTCAGCTTCCAGTTTGAGCCGGGCACGGTGAGTAGGCGCCCTCTGTCTCACAGTGTCAAGAGTGGGCCTCCCTTCTGCCCCCACCCTCCACATCACCAGGGGTGGTACCTTCTCCTGCTGGTTTCAACTCAGAACTCAGACCACATCCCCCAGACAGCAAGACTGTGGCTCCTCGGGGACAGACAGTGACAGGCAGGTGCTGGCATCCCTGCTCAACATCAGGCTCAGTGATGAAGACACGTGTGGCCCACGGTGTGTGGGGCTCTGTGCTGAGGGCTCCATAGATCCACCCAGTCAGTCCTTGTACCAGCCCATGAGGTGATGCTGTCAAAACCCTCCTGCTCTAGACGCAGGACTGAGGGCTACCGCAGCTCGCCCAGGGCCACCTGGTAAGTGCTGACTAGGGTCTGACCTTGTGCAGTCTTGCTGCAGACACTGTCCTCCCTCCTGCTCTGACCACCCACAGCCACATCCCCTCTGCCTGCCAAGGGTGGGCTCTCGGCAAAGGGACCGGAAAGACCCAGACCAACCATCTCCCTGCCCTTGGTATCGCGTGAGGGTTCTCCAGGGACCCAGGAAGTCTTAGATCTCACAGAAGGTAAAATGCTGAGGCTGAAACGGCCCAGGCTTGGGTGACGTGGTTTATAACCACAGCCAATGAGAGGGAGAAGCAGAGATATGCTTACTCCACACAGGAAGGAGGGAGAGGTGGTTCTGGGGAACCGAGCAGTGTAAGTCAGTGGTCCTGGGATGCAACCCGGATTGGCTGATGTGGGGTGAACTTTTTATCTCACATAGTGAAGGTCAGCAGAGCCTCACTTCTCCCCACCCAGCAGGGTCCTCAGCCCCACCACCTTTCTGGGGGTGGCTGCCTCCAGAGGGATCCACCCTCCTCTGCTCACAGGTTTAGGGTTTCAGCCAAGCACCTAAGAGTTCCTGGCTGTGCCGTGGACAGGTGAGGGCTGCGCCAGCCTCATTCTCTACTTCTGGACACACCTCAAGCTCCATTGTCTATCATCACATGGGGTTCCCTAAAATGCAGGTTTGGGTTCAGGTCCCACTGCGTGGTGGCAGCAGGAGGGAAAGCAGTCCAGGCACTGCATCCCGGATGGTGACCCTGGGGCTGGGAGAGCTGCTCCCTCCGCGTAGCTGAAATCCCAGGCAGGGCTGAGTGGTCCTGCTTCAGTGATCCGCCCCTGGGTGACCTCTGTGGCAGACGAGAGGTGACCGTGGTGGTTGGTCTCGCCTCACACAAAAGGGGCAACTGGTCCTAGAAGAGGCAGGGCCACCAGTGCTGGGACCACAAATACAATATATGTGTCTCATTTTTGTATCTCAGTGTAACAGGTCCTCGTGACAAGAAACATGGCATTTCAGCCACTTGTATATGCATTTTTAATCTGGGAATTAACTGACCGGGGGTCCTTGGGAGGACGTGGAGCCCCTCACCGAGGTGGTGGTTCTGGTTTTCATGTTTGTTTTCCTCCCCGGGGCTCCCGGTTCCCTGGACCTTTTATCCAAGCTCAGGGATGGGTGGCTGCTGACTCACAGAGAGCACAGGGGGATCTCTGATCTGGGGTCCCGGGAGAATCTGAGACCACGTGGCTGAGCCTGGAGTTACGGCCAAGACACCAGGGAGCAGGCGGGACCAGCAGAGCCTGGCTGCCCTGAGCAGGGAGCCGAGCCCGCTGTGCTGAGCAGGCCCCTGCCCTCGCTGGCTCCTCGGAGAGAAGTCAGGGGCCGCCCTCTGGGTATGGGCGCTGCGAGCAGCGGGAAACAAGACTGCAGGGAGTTTGCGCATCTCTGTCCATTCCCCTGCTGAGAGCAAACTCTAGGGAAGCCCTGGGTCACGCAGGCCTCTTTCAGCTCCAGGGGGGTAGCTGACACCCTGAGGTGGAGCCGGATGGCAGGCTGCTTGCTCCCTGGCCCTCCACTCCCTTCCCCTCCTGGGCTCCGCTCTGCCGACCTTCCCTCTGGGACCCAGGCGGCTTCGTGAGCTCCAGGCTCCCGTCCTGACCTGCTCCCTGGGGACCCGCCCACCCGGGAACCCACCCCATTGGACCAGGTGGGTCACATGCCTCCTCCTGACCAATCCTACTGCAGGGTGGAGATGTTCATGCTGACTGGCCGGGCTTGGATCCCTGCCCTCTGCTGAACCAATTGCTGCGCCTGGTGGGGGGGTCTGATGCAGTGCTTGGCTACCGCCTGAGTCACGTGTTCCACCCAAATCACTGGGCCTGGAAAGGCAAGACGTGACTCCCAGGAGAAAATGAGGCCCCGTGTC